GATTATATTGCTGTGACTGATGCGTATGTGATCCCAATTATTATTTAATAATAATATAATAATATAATAGAGTCTAACTTACCAAAGTTATTGGCCAGCTCCATGGATAACTTGCTCTTGGCAAACGCATCCTGTTTCAGTTCGATGAGATTGTCCACGGAGAAGCGATGCATTTTGTCCAGCTCTCGGCGATTTGCAATTTCCTTATCCTTGACGTAGGCGGCCTGATGCAGTTTCTCATCCAGCTCCAGGGGCGGGGCGGGCGGCGCGGCATACGTCGCCTCGCTGGATGCCAAGGTGTGAGCTGGCCCGGAACCGGGTCCGGATGCATTGGACGTCGCCGACGGCATTGTCGAGGCGGCATAATAGAAATTGCCGGCACCATCGACGGGTATGGAATGCAGCTGCTGCTGATAGTTTAACATGGCTGGCGAATTGAATTGAGATTCTTGTGCAAACCACTTGGTCAATCACTGTTTTCCCTAATTGGGCAATTGTTAATAATGGCGATGATGGGGGCAATGGTGACGATGGCGATGGCGATGCGAGGAAAAGGGCAGAGAAACAGACAATTCAATTGGGCGTGCGAATTGTGCGTTAAAATTCTTCATTTGTCTTTCTAATTGGATGCTGATTGAATTAATTTATTTTGTTTTCTCACTGCGCGGCTGCATCTGCTGCTTCTGGGGGCATCCTGCGCGAACTTAGTTAATTAGATTAGCACACAACACATAAACGAGTTAATTACGATAATTGTCGCGACGATACTAAACCGTGCCAAAGTCGTGTGCCCACTGAAATTAGCCTCAAGATGCGAGCCGCCTCAACATATCCACATTCATCCACACACACACACACACCCAAACACACACATGTTGCCACTCTCCTCGGGCTGCTCACCCTGCTCACTCTTCTCAAGTGCGTTTGCTCTCGTTCTCTCGCGATCGCTAATTATAGCAGCCCGGCTGCCATTGGCCGATCGCAGCGAGATCGACGCCTGCCGCCGACATTTTGAGTGGGCGTTGCCGCTCGGCGAACGGAAAAACTCGAATGAAATACGAGGTGAAAAGTAGCAACAAGTTCGGCCCATTTAAGTGGCAATAAATACCAATTAGTGGTCGCGTAATGCTCGAGTTCCAATTGTCCTTGCTGGGCATCTGCTGTTGTCGTTGTTGTTGTTGGTGTTGTCGTTGTCGTTGTTGTTGTTGGTGTTTGTGTTCCATTTTCACAGGATGCGTTGCATCATGTTCTTGAGTTGCATGCAGCGCATAAATCTTGGCACGCACAATGTTTGTCATCCTTGTTAGCTAATTTCCATAACCACAACATGATGTTAATGTTTCGAGCCATTGCCAGGCATCGCCCGGCTGCATATGCGACAAGCAGCGAAACGGGGGCAAGGATGCATGCCTGCCTGCGGCAAGGGCGTGCAGCGTGGGCGGAACTGTCAGTTAAGTGCAGTGCGCGACTGCTGCAGTTGCTGTTGTTGCTGCTCAATTGCAGTTGCAGTTGCCGTCGGTGCATCCCTATTTGCTGGCTGATAATTGATTCCCTTGATCTGTGATAGAAACCAGAGCCGAGAGCAGGTGAATTTGGTCTATCTCATGCTGAATGGAGTAAGGGGAAGTTAGCCAAGAGTCAACTCCTTAGCACACATTTGCTCATTAGGAGCCGCCAGCCAGCTATCTGCTGAAATTATAATATTTCTGACAAGCCAACTCTCGTGCCCTCAAATTGAGCTGTCACAGAAGTTTAT